CATACGAAAATGTGACCATGAGCTATGAGACTACGAAAATGTATATGTGTTATATGATAAGAAGCTATGAGATTAAATGCCTATGTGATATGATATGAATATGTGAATATGTGAAAACCATGATGATAATGCCCATGTTATGTGAAATGAGAGCTAGGGGTATAGTTGGCATGACAAGAGTCGAGGGTTCTATGTAGTCTTTCAGGATATATATGTGGTCCTTCGGGACATTTCTACGTGGTCCTTTGGGACAATTTTATATGCCCCTAGTGAAACTTTATACGAGCTGTGGTGACAGCATATGTGCACAACCTCTATGTACTCACATATCTTTAGTTCTCACAGGTGTACCATGGGCTAAGAATGAGATAACATAAATAAACCTTGTGTGATGTTATGTGTGTTTCTTTATGCGATGTATTATATGCTTTGTATAAATGATAAGTATATGATTATATGATAAATGGGATTAATGATAATTATAAGAATATTGATGATGATATAGATGTATGTATGCATGTTGTTATAAGTAATATTATATGATTTTGTATGATGTGATGATATGATTTTTTTTATTTTTAAGTATTCAAGTTTCTATTATTTATTTATATGCCTAACTAAGTCAACGACTTAGCGTGTGAGTGTTTCACACGTAGGTTACGATGAGATTAAGAAGCAAAGATGAGCAAGACATGTCAGCTTCTCCTTTCCAGAGATCATATCAAAAACGTATTTGAATAATATGTATTTTGTTATAATGAAGTAGTTGGCATGTAAATAAAGATTTGAATGGTATATGCTCTGATTGGTTTTGTAAACCTTTTGATTGAAATTGTATAAATTATGCAGTTTTATTTAATATAAGTTGAAATTTTCATTTTCATGTACAAGTGTAGGTTTTGAAAAGTTAATGTGGCACCTTGGATTCGTATTCGGGTCGGGTACGGATTGGGGGTGTTACAGTGACCGCCACGAGTCGGTCGGTTTAGTTCTTACGAAGTTGTGACTTGTATATTGTATTATTTAAGTGACTCCAATTTTGTTAATATATTATGTACTTGTCATATATGAATCAAGTAGGAGAATTTTAGAAATATTGATTCATATAATTTAAGTAATTGACAATTGCTATTGTTGTAAACCCGGTGATGATTAGTGTAGTATTGAAGAGGTAATTATCGGATGTAAGTCCTTCCGTCCCATACCGTGAAAATATAAGTTTGAGTGTTGTTATGTGTAACTGAAAAGTAGAGGGGCCTTTCGGTTATTTTATGAATTAAAAACATAATGGAATTAATGTAGCAAACAATTTTCTATAAGTGTTTCTTTTTCTCTAAAACAAAAATCTCTCTCTATACTTTAAGAGTCTTGATTCTTTTCATCAATAATCAACCAAGTTTTGATATCATCACAAGCCGAAGACATGATTATACGGTATTGGGATTGGATAACATTCGTTATTACTTGCTTTTGGGATACTTGATTATCATAATGGAATCATCAAGTAAGTCTTCATTCCTTTTACTATAACTTTTAATAATTATTCCATGAGGATGATTTGGTTGATTTAATTATCCTATTAGGATCCTTATGTGTTAATTGCTTCCGTATGGAAGTTTAATTGAATCTAAATCAAGTCTCCCAGCCTAGCATAAAATATAATCCTTGTAACATTTTCTAGACATCTCATGAGTCTTCTAGGAAGAAATTTATAAATTATTATTCGTTTAATTAGTTGAATTTTCATCGATTGATATTATCTTAGATCAAAATATTATCTTCTAAAGTTTCTCGAAAGTTAATGATGGATTTATGAAATTTTAGAGTACCTTGGATGTCTTAAAAGATAGAATCATATGAGAACCGAAATTGAGTATCTGAAAGAAGGATTTGAGTTAAAAACGTAAAAAATACAATTTAAATATAAATGTAGTAAGTAAATTCTCTGCAAAATCTTAGTAGATTGTAGGGAAACTTCTCGAACACTTTTGAAGAGCTAATATTCTACTAGACAAAAGTATTACAAAAGTAATGTTTTAGTGACAAAATCGATACACCCCTAAATTTTAGTGCCTAAAATGCCGGCTTTTGCAAAGTGACTATCTGTGCAAACGTTGGAGGTTAATTTTGGAATTATGACATAAATAAAAGGGTAAAATACGTGAAAATTGAATTTTTCCATTTAATTGTTTATATCATTGAACTTTCAATTTTGTCAATTAAAGTATTTAACTTGAGTTATAAATTCAATTATTTCATTTTTTTCCATCGAGTCAGTAATGAAATGACCCAAAAGCCCCTCTACTTTTTAGTTACACATAAAAAGTCTATGTACCACATCAGCAAAAATATATTTTTAAAATAAACTATAACTATAACGAATTACATATACAGTTATAAAAATATATTTTGAAATATTTTAAATATTATTTTCGATAATGTGACATCATTTGTGGACCTGCCACGTCAATAGAAAACATTGACCGTTAGTCAACTAATGATTTTAATCCAACCAGAAGATATTTTGCTTTAAAATAAAATGTTCAGGGCTAAAATGCTTTAAAATAACAAAGATAGAGACAAAATGATTATCTATGTAAAGATTGAGAATAATTGTTTTATGCCTTTATTTATATAGATTACAAAGAAAAAAGAGAAAAATATAAAAGAACAAAAGAAATGTCAAGAAATAACAAGAAAATCAATCAACAATTAACGCTTACTCCAATAGGAACTGGCATCTGCATTTGTTCATCACCAGTTTGCTTTTGCAGCACCATCACGACACTGATTAAGCATATGGGACTTTAAAACTGAATACCTGCACATGTATATATATCTCACCTACGTATACGCGGTCGAAAGATGTTCGTGTTGTCAGAATAGACGTAAAATTTATATTAGATTTTTTTTTTAATTTTAATATGATGACCTTATAAAATTTTAAAGACAAAATTATGTTATTAATAAAAATATTTAAAATATATAATAATTTAAAATTTTAAAAAAATATTTATCTCCGATTACCCCTTCAGTCTATGTATATGTATTATCGAAATCCGTGGCTTTCGTGTTCTTTGTAACTGAATTGGTGATAGGGACTGATGGTAGGAGATGAAGGGCCATGGCCAAGAGCTCTCATTTTGGCTTAACAGATTTGAATCAAATTAGTGTGTAAAAGAACCGATGTATGCTACCATATATATTAATACAATTTATCTGAAAAACTAAAATTAATTTTCTTTTTTCAAGAAATAACAAGAAAATCAATCAACAATTAATGCTTACTGCGGTGGGCACTGACATCTACTGTATATGTTGTTCCTCCATCACCAGCTTCACTACTGTCACACACATAGGGCTGTAAATGAGACGAGACAGATCACGAGTTATTCGAGATCGACTCGATCAAGGCTCGACAAATATTCGGATCGAATGGACTCAACTCGAGCTCGACTCGATTTCTTAACGAGCCGAAACGAACTACTCGATATTCAACTCGAAAAGCTCGTGAGCAGCTCGAAAAACTGTTATATTATAATTTTAGATTTTTTAAAATTATATTATAAAAAAATTATTAAAAATAAATTATTGATAATTATAAATTTTAAAAATATTAAAAATTCTATAATACAACTACCCTGAAAATTTATTTTTTTTAATTAAGCAACCTAAGTCCAATTATTACATTGTATATTACTAAAAGAAAAATAAAAGTCCATTTAATTAAGCACATGTTAGATTACACCCTAAACTCTAAATCTAAACCCTAAACTCTAAACTATAAATCTTAAACCCTATTCCCAAACCCTAAATCATAAACCCTAAACCATAAGCCATAAGTCATAAGTTATAAACCCTAAACCTATAATTTGATTATGTGATAGGGTACTAAAAGAAAAATAAAAGCTCATTTAATTAAGAACATGTTAGATTACACCCTAAACCCTAAATTTTAAACTATAAATCCCAAACCTTAAAATCTAAGTCCTAAACCTTAAACCCTTAATCCGATTAAATGATAGGGTTAAGTACACATGATAATAGTGCATTACATACAGTGATAGATTGCATCTTGATAAAAAAAATTAGGGACGTACTTAATATTTTTAAAAATTTTAGAAATATAAATTAGATGAGACAACGGAAAACTTACCACATATAAACCCCATTCTGATCAACATGGGTAGTTATTAAAATATCCATATTTGGACTTTTCTCATTGGATTTGTTTACTTATATCATTTTATCATGTTGTATTATGGAAATAACTACAAATTGTAGGTGGTACAATAGATACAAATTTTAAATATTTCCCATCAAAACCCCCACCAAACCTCGCCATGAAACATTAAAACAATTATTTATATTTTTTAGATTAAACTTTGAAAAAGTGTTAACTTTTAAACCTTGGAATCCAGTTTCCTAAGCCTCTCAATTCTGCTTGCGGTGAAGGTGAAATGTATTGTTGCAGTCTTACTCCATTTTTTCTTTGGCTCTTCGTATCTTTATCTCTATCACTTTCGACTGCAACCAAAGCTAAAGTCCCAGCCATCATAGTGTTCGGAGATTCCTCCGTGGATTCGGGAAACAACAACGTGATGATTTCCACGCTTTTGAAAAGCAATTTCCTGCCTTACGACCGTGATTTTTACAACGGTCAACCAACGGGACGCTTCTGCAATGGCCTAATATCTCCCGATTTCATCTCCGATGCTTTTGGACTGAAGCTAGCCATCCCAACTTACTTGGATCTGGCTTACAATATATCCGATTTCACCACCGGCGTTTGCTTTACTTCCGCCGAAACTGGTTAGGACAATGCAACCTCCAAAGTGCTCACCATGAAACATTAAAACAGTTATTTATATTTTTGTCTTTTGTTGTGAAAAGGACGGGAAGTTTCGACGTTGGAGCGATAGTCTTTTGGTGGTTTTGTAGCTGGAACTTGGACTTGAGTTTCCATGGAAGAAGGAAGTGCAGCTAGTGATTGTTGCACTGGAGTTGAAGATTGTGGTGGTTGTGCAGGAAGAATGGACTGTTTGGGCAGAGTAGGAACCACAGATGGTGGTGGCTGAGGGGATATCGAAGATGATGTTGGATGTAAAGGGGCAGAGAAAACAGACACAGTTGGTCACGTGAGTTATATCCTATATCGGTGGTTGTTGGGAATAAGGGGTAAAGTGAAGTGTATAAAAGGGGATGAGTTTCAGCACATGAAAATAAAACCCGTCGAGCTTGAATCGAGCTCAAAATCGAGCTTCAAATCGAGCTTGAATCGAGCTTCAATTCGAGCTTCAATTCGAGCTTGAATCGAGCTTGAATCGAGCTTCAATTCGAGCTTAAAATCAAGCTTGAATCGAAATTAAAATCGAGCTTCAGTCGAGTTTGAGTCTCGAGCTTCAATTGAGCTTTTGAATTTTTTTTGAGTTTTGAGCCTTTTCGAGTTTGAGTCAAGTTTTAATATTATATTTCGAGTTCGAGTCGAGCTTGATAATTTTAGCCCGCGAGTTTTCGAGTCGAGCTTACTATAAATGATTTCGAGTTCGAGTCAAGCTCAGCAATACTCGAGCTCGACTTGGCTCGTTTACACCCCTAGCCACACATATCTTGCTTTTGCAGCAGCATCACTGCACCGATTAAGCATATGAGATAAGAGAGGTAAAAAATGACTCAACCTATAAAATTGATTGAAATCAATTTGAGTTAAAATTGTTTGTAATCTAAGGTAGTAGTGATCCGAAATCGACTTGAGATAAAATTGTTTGTGATCCGAGATGGTGGTGATCTGAAATCAATTCAAGTTTAAATTGATGTTGTCTTGAACCCGAGTTGGACCTGGAAATTATGGATCTGAATCTGACCTACACCCGACCTGATAACAATTTGAACCTGAATTGAACTGATAATATAATAACTGAACCTAACTTGCATCCGACCTAATATGAACTTGAACCCGAGATTAATCTGGTAAATAACTGATATTATCCGATCTATTATCAACTTGACTAGTAATTGACTCAACTTGTAAATGATCCGACTTATTATTGAACTGATTTGGTATTTACTTGACTTTTAAGTAATAATTGATGAAATTGTGAGATTTTAGACAGAGGGGAGGGGGAGAGAGAGACAGAGAAAGGGAGAGGGGGAGAGAAAGGAGGGGAGGGGAGGGTGACAACTATCATTTTGATGTCAAAACAAATTCCTTCTTCCCAATAGAATATAAGAAATACGTAGTAAAGAGAAGCAGGGGTCGATCCTCAAGGACTTAGAAAAATCCTAAATTTCTGTTTGAATTGCTTAAACCAGGCTATAAGTAGTAAATAAAAGTTGGTTTTGATGAAAAAATTGAATAAGGAAAAATAATTTTAAAAAAATTAAGAAAGTAAACAAATATTTGAAAAATAATTATAGTAAAAAGCAACCTCAGACCTCGCTTTCACTCAATTAATTTCTGATCATCGAAATTGGATTTTCACTTCGGGATTCACGCCGGTTACAGTCTACAAGGCATTATCCATGTAACTTGTTTTCCACTTTGGTAACCGATTTTCCCAAAGCCAATATTTGGAAATTCAACTTTTAATTGAACCAACCACAACAATTGCCGTTAGTGAAAAAAACAGTTTAGTTTAGGAAAAGTTTGACTCGGATTATGTTGTCTCTCTGAGAATCGAACCCGATCGAAGTTTCCCTTAGTGAACCACCGCTAAGTGTGTCCACAGGAAGTCGAATTTGCTATTCGTCGATCTTTCCTCCCAACTTTAAATCATACCAACGCCGACTTTTTGATTTGAAAGTGTTTTGATTTTTAAATGATATGTCAATTACTTATCCGAATTTTTTAGAAAACTGAGAATGACATCCTGAAAATGTTAAGTGTTTTTCAATTCTCAAATATTTAATTAAGTTGTCGCTTAGCCTTTATGTTTATGAGAAAATTAGCTAAGCATGAAAAAAGTACTTAGCATGTTTAAAAATAAAACTTAAAATAAAATAAACACGAAAACTTGAAAATAAAGAAAAAATCAAACTCTTGAGTCAAGCAAACAGAAAGGCAAGGATTAAGTAGCAGAATGCTCAGACATTATTAAGGCATAACAGTGAGGCATACCAACTGAATGCATTATTAAGTACTTATAGGAGATGAGGATGACTTGCGATGACCCAACCTCGAATGTTTTGATAAAAATATGTTTTACAGTATTTTGATATATTTTCATAATGTTTATAGAAATGATTTTATGAATAATTTGAGAGCATGAACTGCTCTAAAATGAATGGATAAACTTTTATATTGTTTTAACAGTTATCGATGTTTCAAAACTAAATGTTTAATCTATGAATTTTGACTTAAAGGCCCATTGTATGTGCATTGAGACTCATAGGTGCATTTCGACATACTTTGTGTATGATGGTTATTGATCGATTTCGTTTAATGCATAAGTTGCATTTTTGTATGATGGTTATCAAACGATTGTGTTTAATACATAAGTTACATTTTTGTATGATGGTTATCGATCGTTTTTGTTTAATGCATAAGTTGCATTTTCGTATGATGGTTATTGATCGATTTTGTTTAATGCATATGTTGCATTTTTGTATCAGTACTATATGTACTTTCGATACTATGTGTGCAACCATGGTATTCATAATGAGTTTATGAATGACCATTTCGGAACTATGTGTGCATCCATGGAATTCATAATGATTTTGTGGATTACCATTTCAGCACTTAGGTGCAACTCATGTACCTTGCATTCTCATTCAACATACATTGGGCAAATAAAAGGATAACATGGAAAATTAATGTTGATAGGTATGATGGGCACACTAAATACAATTTCACCGGTTATGTGAAAGAAACATGGTTTATTAAGCCAGTTTTAAGTATTATTATGATTTGTATGATTTAATTCGTATTTTGATAGTTTATGATATACTTATGTATTGGTTACATTTCAATTATATTATTATGCCTCACTAAGTGAAAACTTAGCGTGTCTTGGTTTCACGCGTAGGTATTACTATGAGCGGAGTAAGGAGTGCAACTGACATCATAGATCAATGGTTGCCTCATCAGTAAATGTATGAAAATTATGTATACTTTTGATATTATTATATGGCAAGTAATAGACTTATGATAATGCTCTAGGAAATATTATACTTATGATGATTGTAATATTTAGTGTGTTGGAAATTTAAAACTATTTTACATTTTAAAAGTTAATGGATGCTTTATTATTAATACATTAAAATGTTTTATTTATAGAAACAAAATTTTACTAGTTTACAAATCCGAAAATGTTTTAAAAAGTCATGTGACACATGTGATTTGTACACAGAAACGTATACGAGAAATGGGTGTTACATTATTTACTTTTCCATTTTATAGCCCAATGTAAACCACTAAGAATGCAAGGTATGCGAGTCAAACGAGCATTCACTTATAATGAACAAGTGTTGTAGAACACATCATCAATGTTCCACTTTAAGGAATACATCGCACCATCATCTAATATGTGCATGCACCATCTTCATATGCGTGCCAAAAAATGTATTCTCGGTACTTTATCACCACCGTCACATAGACGTCAAAGACGTGTTAAGTACCAACGCACCACAATCAAACAAACGTCATATTTGTGCTCAATATCATATAATGGCACCACCGTCACACAAACGTCAGCTCGTGCCAAATAGAATGCATAAATAGTGTCGCATAGAAGCATAAATAGTGTCGCATAGAATTGCACATACAGTGCCGCATAAAATTGCTCATACAGTTCCACGTAGAATTGCACATATAGTGCCATGTAGATTTGCACATAAAGTGCCACGTAGAATTTACATATAAAGTGCCACATAGAGTTGCACATAAAGTTCCACGTGGAATTGCACATATAATGATTTAACTCTATACCTATGACTCTTAATGCATTTACAATCGGCATTTTCTTTAAACCATTTATCTTTATGAGAAACTTTTCTAGCATCATCACAATCAGGTATTATACATCATTCACTGATCATAATCGTTTTAACAAAATCAAGTATCACACAATAAAAATCTCAATACATATACAATGGGTTTTTCCATCACATTCACATATCATTTTAGCTTCAAAGTATTCCTAAATACGAATATATCAAAAATATAATATAAAAATATATTAGGCAATTCATACCCGAAATCATTCTTAAGAAATCATTAAACATAATAGTATGAATTATAATAAAACTAATTGACCTCAATCTCTCTTTAAGTCATTCGAGGTTGACTCATCGCAAGTCTTCCTCATGTCATACTTATAATAAATAAGTAAGGTGCACTCACTTGAAATGTCTCACTAGTAACCTTATTTAGGGGGCGTTTGGATTATGGAAATCTTGTTTACTTGTGGTATTTTTCTTTTCCCGGGCTGTTATACCCACGTTTGGATTAGAATGATTCCCACTTGAAGGTATTATTTTATTTCCAACAGTAATTTTTTTGACCTTTTACTGGGAATGTCATTCCCATATATTACATAGGTTTTATTTTATTCCTGGGCATTTGGGCTAAAATACCCTTTCTTCTCATCTTCTCCCCGACCTCGCTTCTGTCTAATTCCTTTGCTGAGAATTTTCCTGGTAAGATTTCCACCACTCATTTTCTTTTAATTTCCCAGTAATGTTACTTTACTTTTGATTTTGATTATTTTCCTTTGCTTTTAATTTTTCCTTTGATTTTGATTCTTTTCCTTTGCTTTCAATTTTTCCTTTGCTTTTGATTCTTTTCTAATAGTCTAGTTTCAACAACTTCTCCTGAATTCGACCTCCATATTTTTTATTTGAGCTTACTGGTAGTCTAGGATTCTTTTTCTTTTTCTGCGCAAATAATCCAAGTAATCAATTGTTCAAGTTACGGGACTGTAAATCTTTTACATTGAAGTTGGGTCTAACTTGAATCGTCTATGCGATTGCGAATAATCCGTTGTTTGTTTCCAGTTTTGTTTGTCTTATGTGCATCCAGGAGTATTTGTTCGTGGTGTTGTTTCTGTCGTCTGCTGCTATGTTTAGAAATTTTGGTATACCTGGGTAGCCTGGAGTAGTTTTTATGCTCTGGGTTTTTTGCTTTGGTCCTTTTACGAATATGTTGGTAGATTAGCCAATGAGGGAGCTAGTTTATTCTGGTCGTTCTGCTTGCTTTCTATGATTTTTCATTAATCTGTTGTGCTCTTCAGTTTTTCGAGCTTTTGTCATCCTTTTCGATTAGCTTCAATTAGAGAGTATCTCTTGTCTCAGTTCGTGTCTTTACTCAAGCTTTGGTTGCTGCTGATATTAAGTTAGAGGTGTTGGTTCTCTTTCTTGTTGTTGCTGTTTGTGTTTGAACAACTTTCAGTTTCTATTTCTTTAATGGCGTGTCCGGTTTTGGTTTATTATTGTGTTGTCGGGGGAGTGTTAGGATCGGCGGTGTGGTTATGTATGGTATGTTGTGATGTAAGTTTTTGTGTTTGTTCATCTCTACCACCACATAAATTTAGTTTATATGCTTCATTGTAATTACTTAACAGAAATAGGTTCTTTTTCTGAACTTCTACGGTAGAATATGATGGAATTTGAAGGTAAAACCTGCCATTTTCTAATTCAAATTTGAGGTTGGAAGTTCTTACATATGTTTAGGATGCTAAAGTATTGTTAGCAAACGATTTTGTTGATCTGTCAATAAGTACTGGCAGACTCTAGACTACATATCCACAAATTCACTTTGTACATGGATAAGTAAGAAGAACCTTAGGAAATCCAGCAGCTCATTTTGCAATGTATAATTCTTTATATAATTCTAAAACCTACTTTTAGACACTACATCGTATAGAGTTGTGAAAATCTGGATTTCTATGTTTTCTTGTCTCCAGTCTAACCATTGGATTAGATTGCAAGCATTTACTCATAGGCTCTAGATTTTGGCATCCTTAAAAATACACTGCTCATGTACTTTTATAAGTACGAAGTTAATTTATGTAAAATGAACACGTGATTTTATTAAGATGATATACTAACCTTTGAAGCAAAGATACATATATGGAGAACTAAAATAATTGGTGTGGAAACCACTACTGTGCTTTTTGCCATGATTAAACAAACTCTTAAAATACATCTTACGACTAACCCAAAATTTCAAAAGGAAAATAATGAAAAGGAATTATGAATCCATCCCATCACTGCCTCACTTGTTTTATTTATTTTTAAATTGTGATAGGCTCTAAATATAATTTAAATTGACGTATCAAAAAGCTTGTAGTTTAGGATGCTAAAGTATTGTTAACAAACGATTTTGTTGATCTGTCAAGAAGTACTGGCAGACTCTAGACTATATATCCACAAATTGTCTTTGTACATGAATAAGTAAGAAGAACCTTAGGAAATCCAACAGCTCATTTTGCAACGTATAATTCTTTATATAATTCTAAAACCTACTTTTAGACACTACATTGTTTAGTGTTGTGCAAATCTGGATTTCTATGTTTTCTTATCTCCAGTCTAACCATTGGATTAGATTGCAAGCATTTACTCATAGGCTCTAGATTTTGCATTTTTCAATTCAAATAGGGTTGTTCAAATATGGATTTCTATATTTTCTTGTCTCAGTCTTAAATGTTCAAATATACTCTTGCCCGAAAATTATCTAGATTTTGCCCGAAAATGGTTAATAGGGTTGTTTTTATGGGTGAAACAGGTTGAGGTTTAAAAGCAAACAAATAAATGTGTGGCGACCTACTTGTTTTACAGTAACTTGCTGAACTGTATTGACATAGTTGCTCTTCTATCATCATTTTATTATAGTGCCATTTTTATTGTGTTCAATTATTTTTATTGTGATGACAAACAATTGTTCTTGTTAAATATTATTATTTTCTAATATTAAAATGCTTGTTCATAATAACAGTTATGGCTCGTTTACCAATGCGAAAGAAGACGCATATCGCCACAATTCTTATTTTACAACTACAAATGATGGAGATTGTGTGTCATATGCTTATGATTATTTCAGTTATTCTTAGAAAATATAAAAATCGACCTAAAATAACTTATGCACATGAAAGACTTCATAGACATAATATTAGATCACTTAATTTACATAAAATTGTATTTGAAAGTGATCGACAAATTGTTGATAATTGTCGAATGGATAGGAGAGCATTTATCAAATTGTGTCACCTATTACAAAGTCAAGGTGGGTTAAAAGAGAGTCGATATATGTCTATAGAAGAAATGGTTATTATTTTCCTTCATATTATATCCCACCATATTAAGATTAGAGTTTTAAAACGTCAAACAGTAAGATCTGGTGAAACAATTAGTAGAGTTCTCCATACAGTGTTAGCTTCAGTCTTGAAACTACATCCGATCCTTTTTAGAAAACCAGAACCGATACAAGATAATTCAACAGACGATAGATGGAAATGGTTTAAGGTATTGTATCATAATTCTAAACTTTCTTTTAAGTTAATTAGTAATGCTACATAAATGGATAGTAATAATGAAATTTAACTTTATTTGATGAATATAGGGATGTTTGGGTGCTCTAGATGGAACGTATATTAAGGCCAATGTAGCTGTAATCGATAAACCTAGATACAGAACAAGAAAAAATGAAATTGTGACAAATGTACTTGGTGTTTGCACACCAAACATGCAATTCGTTTATGTTTTACCTGGGTGGGAAGGTTCTGCAGCTGATGGTATAATACTCAGAGATGCCATTAGTAGAAGAAATGGTTTAAATGTTCCACAAGGTAAATTATTAGGTCATTAATATATATATATATATATATATATATATATATATATATATATATATATAAGAATGTAAAATTCTTACAAGTTTTGTATATTAATTTATTTTTTAAATTAAAATAATATAGGGTGTTACTACTTATGTGATGTTGGATACATGAATGGAGATGGATTTCTTGCACCATATAGAGGTCAAAGATACCACTTGAATGATTGGAGAGAAGGAACCTACCACCCCTCAAGAATATTTCAACATGAAACATTCTCAAGCTAGGAATTGCATTGAGAGATGCTTTGGCATATTGAAAGCGAGATGGGCAATTTTAAGGGAAAAATCATTTTATCCAGTGAAAACACAATGTAGACTCATTTCAGCTTATTGTCTTCTCCATAATTTCATAAGATATGAGATGCCAATCGATCCTATTGAATCTGAATGTACTGAAGATAGTAGGCATGTTGAAGAGATTGATGAAGTAGAAATGATTAGACATTATGAGCCAAGCAGTGCTTGGACTGAGTGGAGAGACAAATTAGCAGAAGACATGTTTACTAGTTGGTTGGCGTCACGTACTTTAGGATAGATGTTATTTTATGTTATGTATGACTTACACCTTCTATTTTATCTAATGTTAGTGGTTATTACTTTCATGTATTTGACATCTTTATATTTTATGGCATAAACTTTATTAAATTTTATGTATTTCTCTTATATAAAATTTGAATTTTATTTGTTATGGACATTCATTACTTATGTCATTCACTACATTTGATTTATATTATGTTACTATTTTAAATTTCTTTTATGATTAGTATTGACAATGATGACATGTTTTATGTTATGTTATACATTTTTTATATACATATTCTTAGATTGTTTCGAAGAGAAATATGTCAACATCAAATATGGAATCTCAAAGGGGGGGAAAATCGCTGACATCTAGAAAGATTAAGTCTTTAGTAACTAAAAGGACATGGACTAAAGAGGAGGATGTTGCACTTGTTGAATGTTTACACATTTTGGCTGAAGACCCACATTAGAAAGCTGATAATGGAACATTTAGATCAGGTTATCTATCTAATCTTGAAAAGATGTTAGAAATCAAGCTTCCAACATCACAAATTAGGGCCCATCCACATATTGAATCTAGAGTGAAGTTACTCAAAAGACAATACAATGCTTTATCTGAAATGCTGAATATTGGAAGTGGATTCGGTTGGAATGAAGAAGAAAAATGTTTAACTGCACCAAAGGATGTGTTTGATGATTGGGTTAGAGTAAGTATTTTAATTGAATTTATCTTCTTTTTATACTCTTTGTTATCTACTTAGCTTTGTAAGGTTTATTAAATTTGCGATTTTATTATATTGTAGAGTCATCCAACTGCTGCTGGATTGAGAAACAAGTCATTTCCATTCTTTGATGACTTTGTTCATATATTTGGAAAAGAAAGAGCTACAGGAATAGCAGTGGAGACAGCAGCTGATGCAGTGGAACATATTGATGTTGAAGACAATGCATTTATAGATGCATTACTTGAAGAAGAGGGAGTAAGAGATTCTGAATCAAGAGAGGATGTTGGTGCTTCAACTTGCCAAACATCTGATGCTACTGCCTCTACCCCTACAATAAAAAAAGTAGCTAGCAAGAAAAGGTCTCGAAGTGATGATGGGTTAACCGAGCTTGTACAGGAGATAAGTAAGTTCGGTGCTGCATACCGAGAAACTTCCAAAGAAATTAAGGATATTACTGCTTTATTGAAAAATGAGGCAGAAGGAAATGATCGAAGAATGTCGATTTTCACTGAAATCATGAAAATTGAAGGACTTTCCACTGATGAAATACTTACTGCAGGAGAGTATATGAGCAAAGATGCGCACAAGGTAGATTTCTTCTTTTCTTTGCCGAAAGAATTCAAGAAAGATTATGTGATTAAGCAATTGGTTGAATGCCGTCAATTTAAACCATCATTTTGACTGTCGTCCTTCTACAATTATGTCGATCTCTTTTTGATTATGACTTTAGAATATGGTCCCAACTTTTTTGTGTAGCTTAGCCAAGTATATGTCAATCTTTTGACTTGAAGAATTTTGTGTGTATATAATATAACCAACATATATGATTACGTTTATGTCACATGTATTATCAGTTTATGTCAATATCAAGTTAAATAAATTTATTTTAACAAACCAAGAATCAAGTGAACAAAAACTCATATCAATGGCTTCCTTAACTTGAGAAATATCAGGAGCTTTCCCACCTTGAACCGGCCAAAATTCATCTGTTACCAACACCTGCATTTATCATATGCAATGGTTAATTCAAGTTAAAGATCTGTTATAAAACCCAATGATTAGAAGCTGAAAATCTCTCACCTTCACTTGCAACTGAAGAAACTTGACATAACTAATTGCTTTCTCCAGCATGGTAACCAGATCAACCTGTGAAATGAGCAATAAGATACATACATATATACAGTCTCCAGCTTTTACCATGAATGCAATTGCAAATATCATTTTCTTTACCTTGGAGCCATTGGGTACCAGTTCTTGTAGTATCTTCAACCGCTCACTGATCCTCTCACGTCGATTCTGGTTATGGAAACAATCTCTATATGTTCATTTTCATTCTGGATTTTGATTACTTTTTGATCAAACTTAACCAAATTTACTGAAAATACATGTCGACAAAACTTTGCGGCAATACTTTGGGGGTCCTTTGATGGACCGGACTTAGTTTTCTCCTTCTTAGCTTCGTTGCTACACTGTTTCTTCAAAGCTTGGTTGTTGTCTCCCTATAAAATACCAAATATATCGGCAGTTAAATCAGTAGCTTTCTTATGAATTGACTGTTAATTATTTGGATTGAATGGAAAAGAACAATACTGTATTCGGACGCTTGACGCCAGGTGCTTCGGGTGATTGCAACTCCGGGATACTAT